CCCACCCCCCCCATAACAGAGCCCCTCGTGTTGCTTAAGCAGCCAGTTCCCGAACACACAAACACCTGCCCGCGTGTGCAGACCAGCAGGCAGAGGCACGTATGTACGTGCATGCACTCACACGGGCACATGCACATGTATCCATGCAGACGCGAGTATGCAGATACATACATGCACACAACCAGGTGCACACATGCGCACACACATACACATATGCACGTGCAAACACGTGCCTGCACATATGGATGCACATAGACACACACACATACATTCAGATGTGTATACACATGCGCACATATACATGCAAGCACATGCACACATTCACACCTATACATGCAGACACGCAAATACACACACAACCAGGCACGCACACTTATGCACATAGCCACATGTCTAAACACGTGCATACACATGCATAGGTGCACACACATACACACACGCATCCACATACACATGCCTGTGTGCACACAAGCACACAGAGATGCAAACACCTATACATACACACACACATACACACATTTCCACACAGGCACATGTATCCACATATATACATGAACACACCCTGGTCTGCGTGCACACAAGCCATCCTCACGGCACGGCTCCACCAGGGGCAGCATGAGCCTGGGAAAAGCGGCACCAGCCACACAGCACCATAAGGGTTAATAGTGCCACTTACACATGTGCACACGGATGCACACATGCAAATAGCTGCACCCATGCAGGGACATAACCACATACACGTGCAGGCCCACATGTGCACACGTGTGCAAATACAAACACATGTACACATCCACATGTACATACAAACATCCACACATGCCAAAAGCCAGCTTCTGTGTATAGTCATGTGCACATTTGTGTTTGTGCACATTTGTGCACGTGTGTATGCATGCATGTACATGCATGGGTGTGCAGGTGTGTCTGTGTATGTATGCACATCCACACTCACAGACACGTGCGCAAACATACGCACACCCACATGTACACAAATGCAAGCACACATGCACATACACACACGAGCAAACGTGCACACACGTATACACAGAAACACATACATATATACACAAGCACACATCCACATGTGTGCACACAGGCCACAGGTACACGCATATGCACACACATATACCTATACACATGAGTACATGTATGCCCACACGCCCCATGTACACACACAGACATGCACACCCAACCCTGCACACACGTGTATACACACAATAACATACGCACAAACATGCACATAGGCTGATATATGCCACATGCAAACGCACCCAACACTGCACACACGTATACACACGGGTGCACATACAAGCCATGCATACCCACATACATGTATACACATATGCACACGAACGTGCATGCAGGCCGACATATACATACATGTATACACACCCAACGCTGTTCTCACACCTATACATATACACGTGCGCACACAGGCCACACGTCTCCACATCCACCCCTGCACACACAGGTAAGGGCATGCGCACAAAAACACGCACATGCACGGACACGTGCGGACACCGGGGGGGCCAGGGGGCTGCGAGACTCCTGCCCAGGCCTCCTTGGGGCCAGGGAGGGGGCAGCTGAGCCTAGGCCCCCACCCTGGCCAGGGCCCTGCTGGCAAGAGCTGGGCAGGGGAACGCCCCAGGCCACAAACCCTGAGTCAGGGCCCGCTCCGGGCGGGGGCCCATCCCAGCAGCCTGGTCCAACACCCAGCAGCACCCCTGGCCCTGCTCCAAGCTGGGCTGGGGGAGGGTGGGGGGGCTGTATAGGGGGGTCCTGAAATCCCAGGCCAAGAAGGGTTAACACAGCTTAGGGGAGGGGGGCTGGCTGGGCTGTGGGCACAGCTGAGTGCCCCCCCTGCCCTACCAGGGAGCTGGCGGGGGGGG